TCTCCTGCTATGCACAGCACAAAGCATACAAAGTTACGCGAACGGAAAGATATGTGGAGACAATATTTCCTCGCTCCAAATAATGAGACGCCGAATCACTCGCGTGGCAAGACCTGCCAGGGTATTGATCTCCTGCGTGGCGCGCCTTTCTTAACTTGTTTCCTTTGACGGTGGGGCGAAAGCGGTTCAGGCGTCGGGTGACCGAAGTGGTGCAGGGGGGGGGGGAGTGCCGACCAACACTCGAAGGTGGGACCTCACACTCCGCCTCATACGACACCCAAGAACCAGTACAGGCTCCAGAGATTGTAAATTATGTGGTGTCCACAAATAAAAACTTATGGACTCGGTAAATAAAAATTACGGATGTTGAGTAGTATTTTTGCAAGGGGTTTACATTCATCACTGAATTTTAGCATATATCATTCGGTACTTTTAAAGCTATTATTTGTTAATTAAATGTAATAAATACTATAATTGTTGAGTAATTAATTTTAATTTATTAAATTTTATTTTCGTTAACTTGTAAAGAATGTTTTCTGAGTCGAAGGATCATTAAAAAAATACAGTTTATTCTTCGTTTGAATTTTAAAAACATTTAGGCTAGAAAACAAGCTTCTTATTTAGATAACTGTATCATTTTTATACACATTGAAAGTATTTAGAAGAAGTTAAGTGGTAAATAGTATGTTTTCTTAGTATTACTTGAATTAATTAATTTCCTTTTATTACATAATGAAAATGATGTTGTAGGACAAACATATAATCGTTTTCTTGCCAAATGTCGGTTACTGATGTTGAATTTATTATTAGAAATTGTGCACAAATAGTGCAATGAAAAGTACTTTCATTACAATAAATCCGTAACCTAACAAATATTAATTTTACATGTCGGTGCTGATGATACACATTTATAGTTAAAGCTCATGTGTTTAAGATACATTTTTTTAAATTTATTTTTTAGGCCGCTTTTTAACCGCTAGGTCATCTAGGGTCCTCTTTGATTGTTTTACATGTAATTGTAATTGTAATTGTAGGGGAACAACATGTAAGCACAACACGAGCACACACCAGCATCCAATGCCCCAGGCGGTATTCAAACAAGCGACCCTTCGAGCCGAGGCAACTACGGCCCTGCAGCCGTAGCGACCTCGGCTATCCAGGAAGGCATACGTTTCTTTGTGTCAGATTTAAATACCTGAACGTTTACGTGATGGAATGTTTACTAATTTCCTTCAATTGGTAATATGAAATGTTCGCATTGATCCATCCGCGTTTTTCTAAATCATTTTGTGTTTGTTATTTTTCCAAAACGCAAACCCAAAACCTGTGAGCAGAATGGGCCCGTGGGGTTCGCGTTCTTTCCTGCTTCGTCCTCATCCGAGAGCAAACGACTTCCCCTTCCCGCACCGGGGGCTGTGCGGCCAGCGCCACCTCGCTCCGAACGTGGGAGCCGCAGGCCACGAGGCGGCGACGCTCACTGCACACAAAATTAGACGCTTAATGAGTGATTGGGCGATTACTAGTGATTCCATACGCGTCAACTGACAAGGTCATTAGTCCCGTCAGTTTAGTGCATGTTTTTGCTCGGGAGGTGGCGGTCGCCTTCCCCCGCTGGATGGCGAGATTAGGCGCCGACCCACCGTCGAGATCTTCCTCCAGCCGGGACAATCTCTAAGCCCCTGACCGGTCTCCCGGCGAATTTGGTTGCGTAGTGCATGTAAGTGTGTGTGTTAGTAAGGGATGAAGATAGGACAAAAATAAGGAAGGAAATATCGCGCGCGGTCCATGGTCCGTTTGTTAGGGTACTGCCGACATTCGCCTGGTGTTCATCGGAGAAACTACAGAAAACTACTGATAAGAGCAGGCTAGAATTCTCCTCCAGACAGCGCCTGAATTCGATCTAGCTAGTGTGGAAAAACCTGCCACCGTCGGAACTCGAACCTAGGCCCTCTAGGTGAGGTGAGGTGTAACGACATCAGTTGATGCCCTGAGCCACCTCTTCTAGTACGTTTGTACTGAAAGAAATATCATTGCAGTGAGCAAATTACGATGTTAGTGCCATTTGGACGCACTGTGCCAGCGACTGTGCGCGACGCGCCCGAAGGCCTTTGCGAAGTGCGAGGTGCTGAAATCGCGGCGCCCCCTTGCGCCCGGGGTACTGGTTCATTCGGCCGCTGTCCAAAACCGGATTCCGCGGCTATTTGAGAAGGAAGATACGGATCGGCCCGGCTCCCGGCGCGGCGCTGGGCAGATGCTTGCCATTTATTAGTTTTCTGGGAGCCGGAAGGAAAATTGTTCAATAACCTGTCACTCATTAAAGCAAGGGAGTGGAATGTAAGCCGCACTTGCATTTTGAGGATAGAGGACGTATATTAATTATTTATTAGACATTTCCGTGAGTGCACATGATGTATTCTGAACGTAGTTTACGAGAAATGAAGTTTAACAGGTTTTTTTTTTTTGCATTTTCTCAAAGTGTATTTTACCGTAGTAAAAGTTCACCTTTTATTACAAAAACAGCGAAAAATCATTGCACAGTACGTGTAAAAGATTGAATTTAGATGTTTTTGATGATTGTAGATTTGATTCTTCTTCTTCTAATGAAACGTCCCGTTAAGTAACAAAATAAGTATATGAAGAAATAAAGCGATAGATTACTTTGCAAACCATATTATTAGTTTGTTTTAATGATATGCCTTTCCTCTAAGTGGACAACTTTAGGCAGTAGGAGTTTCATTTCTACATTACAATTCGGGATAAAATTACTAATAAGCACTTATTGTAGCCTTAGTTTTAACACTGCAAATTTACACGAACTTCAGTAGTTATGTATGTTTTCTTGTAAAGAGCGTCTTGTGATATGCAAAGGAGAAGAAGAAAGCAAATACAGCTGCTAAACAAGGATACTACACACAGTTGCAAATGGTATTTCACAAATTCAGTCAGTATAATGAATAAATGATGAAATAAAATACAAGGAAATAAATTAGGGAATAATAGTGAACATATATTAAAATGAAGTAAAAGAAAGAAAGAAAGTATGTAAAATACAGTGCACAGTCACAGAACGAAGGGGGGAGGGGCTCGTAAGTCTTCACTCGCCCTTCAGATGGCAATGACATTTATTGCTAAATACTCTTTATACTTTATTTTATATAGCAACGAAAGTCACTAAACATATTAATTGAATACGTATCAAATAACCATAACCACAAATTTAAAAAATTAAATTCACCGTAGGTGCAAATTCTTTATGAGAAAATATCAATTCGGCTGACGCAACTACAGCGTTAACAAACCTAACATCGAAACAAAAAGGAAGCGCTGCTGAAAACAGAGTTATACAGTTATCTCATTTATAAGGGTGAAGGAGACATTAAACTATTGCCAAACCGAACCAAGAATTTCGGGCCCTGCACCCAGCTCTAACGCGCAGAGCACAACTCCTCGATCGATGATCCTTTGGCGTGGGAGGGCGCGACATTCACTCCATACGTCTCGGCCCCCCTCCCGCTCCCTTCCCCCTTCCTCTCTCTCGCCCAAAAACCCGCCCGCCCTCCGAGCAGCCACCCGCCCCACCCACCCGCCCAGCGTCACCTACCTCCGCCCTCTGAACAAACAACCCACCCACCCACCCACCCACCCACCACCCGCCTGCCGTCCGAACAGCCCGCGCACCGCCAAGGAGCCGTGGCGATGGTGCGCGAGGGCCGTTTTTTATCTGCGCCTCCGATCTGCGCGCGCAAGCCACCCCACGCGACCGCTGCGCGAGCTGCGCCTCCCGGCTGGCGACGGTTGGCGGAGGGGGAGGGGCGTTGGGCGACGGCGGGGAGCGAGCGTGGTCGACGCTTCCGCGTACATCCGTCACCGCCGCTCGTCCAACCCCGCCCACCTGCGCGCGACGCACGCGGGTAGGAATGCGCAAAAGGAAGCGCAGAACTCTATCGCATCATCATCGTCATCACTACCCTCATCGTCGAAATCATCATCGCCATAATGATTATCGTCGTCATTATTGTCTTAATAATTATAGCCATAATTATTATCGTCGTCATTATCGTCTTAATCATCATTGTCATAATGATCATCGTCCGCACTATCTCCTTTTTAAAATCTTGCGAAGAAATCCAAGTGAAATGTGCATTTGAACGATCTCTGCTTAGCAAACGGGCGATGGAGTGAGGGGGGAGGAAGATTACGGCGTTTTCTTTCCATCTGTCACTGCCGTCCTCCCACTTACGGTCGACGCACGCGCAGACGAAGAAGTTTGCATCGCATCATAATCATTATCCGTACACACAATTATATTTTTAATTATTTTGTACCACTAAAGTTGTTTAACACTCCATACAATAATAATATAATTCCGTATGTGGTCCAATTCTTCTGAGCTTTTACAATTTTATTGATGTAATTTTTACATTTCCTTATCCAAAACATAATTATGTATAACAGCATTTAGTCAAAATAAATGTTCGCATCTGTTCGCATCTGCGGTCATCACGTACGAGGAGGGAAAAAAAGTTATGGGCAAAACTGCCTCTCTACGGGAACGTCTCTATCTCCGCGCCCAATAATATAAGCATGGGGAGGTCTACGGGCGAGATGTAAAAACCGTCAACTGATGCCCTATGATTGCCTCCAAATGCGTGTGACGCAATCGTTCTCGAATAGCACCAACAGTCACCTACACTGAACTGAACGCTATACCTCGTGGAACGACGGACGTGTGGCTGGTCGGTAGCCAATGACGATGAACAATTAAAATAGTCGCGTTTGCGCATTGCAAAGTTGTTTTCCCCCGCGCGGCTCGCCTGTAGCTACGCGCCTATCGCTCAGCAGTGGAGACGGCGAGGCGCCACTTTGCGGAGGGAGATGGAACGGGCGCGAGTAGGGCATTAATCACGGCGCCTTCTTGCTCGCTTATCAACGACGCCGTGCTCTACCCGCGCTGCAGTCGATAAGAAGTCTGTCCGTCTCGCCTCGCGACGCCGACGCCTTCACGCGTCACGCGCCGCTGATTTCCTCATGTCGATGGCCGCGTTGCAGGTTGAATCGCCCTTATTTCTGTAGTTGACGATTACTTCTTGTTTGGGAGGTTGATTTGATTTCTTTACGTGTTGATCTCGACCTCGTCTGTTGGGATATTTTAAGTCGTTTGACCTACCTTCAAGCTCCGACATAGTTATGATCATATTTTGTTTGGAAATCACGCTGAAGGGAATTATCCACTTTATGACAGTGGTTTATATATATGTATAATACAAGTGGTTGAAATTTCATATGAACACTGATAGCAGATGTATGGTTTGTAACATCACAAGACCCTTATCATTCGAATTATCAATAATTTGCGCTCTATGACAGTAGTTTACAATTACAATTGACTGCAATGTCAATTAGGCGACCGTTATCTATAGTAGTGACAGTGAAGTGAATGATAATTATTCGCATAATGTAATATTGTAAAGATGGGGTATCGTGTAGATAATTTCTAACCATTGAATACCTCAGATATTGTCGTTTTCTTTTGTTCTGCGGGCTGGATTGGCTTTCACTTTCCTGTAGTGTTCTCCAATTCAGCTTTTAATTGTATTGGAAAGTTTCACATATTTGATCGATGAATTGCCTTGTTGAATGTACTGATACCAATTTTTGTAGATAACAATTGCCAGGTAATCTCCCATCTCTTTAATATTAAATATAGTTTAGGGCATAATTTTTCTTTCCTTTGCTGCATGCACTGGAAATTGGTAACACAGATTTCATGTCCACGTGTCTCCCATTGGCTCATTCTGTGCTCTTATTTGTTGGGTTTCTCTTAAACGGGTTATTTACATCTTTCTGAAACGAGTTGTGATTTATTTGAAATCTCATCTTCATTAACATTCCTGACATGTAAAGTAATATTTATAGACTAGTCCTGGATGTCTTGCGTAACATTTGTGTAAATTATTGAACATCCAAATTTAGACGAGATTAATTTGCAGATAACTTCATAGTTAAATTTATAATACTTTCTTTATGAACTTTTGGCCTAATTTCTCTCTAATAAATGTAATCAACATGAATATACGATAATTGAGTTTTTATTTGGTTAAGAGAATTATTTCACATTTTACTTATAAATCGGGTATAGAGGTTTCTTGGTCATTGTTCCCTTGAAAGCTGAATACTGTGTAAATTTTACGTTTTTATGTAAATATATTGTGTTTAATTCACTTACTGCAGCTTCTAAAGGTCATTTTAAAAGCTTCACGTATGCAAATAAGTATCTTTACAGGACTAATATGTCGAACAAACTGTACGATGAAAGTATAAACCATGAAAATATAGGGTTTTTTTTTGGTTCTCACTAGTGCTTCTATTTTATTGGAATCAAAGAAAGCACACGCTCAAATCGTGAAAGACTCGAGGTTCTTTGAGATTCACTCTAATGTCATAATGTAGAATTTCGTTTAAGGGAAACTAAAAGTGAGAAATAGAGTAGATGTAAGAGTCAATCTTACGACATCATTTGTAAAGACGAAGAAACCATTTAAAGCTAGAAAGAAAATCTTATAATATTTACGACAACAAAGATTGATATTGAGTACAATATTCTTTGTCCTATCAATTAGTATGTTTTTTATGTACAGGACTGAAGTCGTGAATGTAATATCTGCAAGGAAATACTGCTAGGGTCAAAAAAGTGCTTTCTCCGCGGTTGCAGCAGTGGCTGCCTCCAGTCACAGTAGCAGCCATTGGCGCGTCTGCGGTCTCCACCTCCTCCTCCACTTCCCTCCACCCTCCAACAGGTTTACCGTCGCAAGTTAAGTATATACCTCGGGAGCTATAATCAAACAGTACAGTGCGGAGGCGCAAGCAACAGTAGAAGCGACCGCGCCAGACAAAAGGAGGGGGTGGGGGAGGGGGAGTGGGAGTGGTGGCCTTGGTGAAGGGGGGGGGAGATGACAACCGAAGAGCTGCTGAAGGCATTAGCGGAAAGGAAAGCGCCGTGAGACCTGACAATGGGGAGGCTGCGGCTCCGAAGGGGCTCTACTATGAAAAGGGCTCAGATTCCCAATGTGTTAACATATTCTAAAATTATTTCACACATTAGAGGTAAATTTTACGAAAAGAACATGAAAATCTTAGAAAGCATACAAAATTGAATAACATTATTGACCTTGCTAATAATTATAGCACGTACACAATAACCGAATATTCGCTAAAATATAAGAATGTTATCTGTCGTATTAAAATAATAAAATATTCTTTAATCGATATCAATCGAAAAGTCTCTGGGTTGACACAAGAGGTTTGATAATATTGATGTATTATTATTATTATTATTATTATTATTATTATTATTATTATTATTATTATTATTATTATTTGGTAATTGTGCCCCTATATACCGGCTGAATTAGCTCAGAGCAACGATTGCTAGATTTTCGAGACTAGCTTCATAACTAGTTAGAATTCAACTGTTGTGAATTCTAGGGACCACCTGCTCTGATAGGTAGGGTTCCATTGTTTCTCCTAGCAGTACCAGGCGAACGATACAACAAACAGTCCATGGACCCCGCACGATCTTTCATTTCTCAGCATTGTTCCCTCGCCTCCCTTCACATTTTCAGGCACTACGCTACTGCACGTATCGAGGTTCTTTGAGATTCACTCTAATGTCATAATGTAGAATTTCGTTTAAGGAAAACTAAAAGTGAGAAGTAGAGTAGATGTAAGAGTCAATATTACGACATCATTTGTAAAAACAAAGAAACCATTTAAAGCTAGAAATGGAGTCACAGAAATGGAGTAGAAATAGGAGTCGCACACAGGCGGGAGCTTAGAGCTTGACCCGGCTGGGGCAGTGCCCCGACGGGGGAAGTGAAGCAAGTACCCCGGCGTGTAGAATGGTGAAGGATCGCACATTTCACCGGGAGAAGAACCCCGCTACCTCCCGGGATATAACATTAACAACACAATAATCATGGCAGTTGATGCAGTTCAGAAACACCAAACAGTCATGTATATCACAGTGAATATCTCAACTGAGAGAATGCGACGGAAATTGCTGAGAAAATTGGAGATAGATTTCGGGATGATCACGGTTATCGAAGCAATGATAAAGATGATTCAGGGTGACAATGTGAGTGGGGCAACGTAACATTGATTATGATGGCAATGGACAATGAGCCCGATGATTTGTTGAAGTATTAGAGGATGCATAACTTAACGCATAAATGAATGCGACACTTCTGACAATTGGAGATGATATTTTTAAGAACCCGAGTATGGATATTTCAAATATCAGTATATTGGCCATTTATCTATATAGTTAAAAGATCAAATCCAATAAGTAATAAATGGCAAAAATCACAGTGGTGTATCAATATAGTACCCTTTTCGTTTCTTCTTTGAGAGTAACGAGCAAGACCCCATTGTTATTGTTGGTTGTTAACAATAATATTGCCAACGTTAGTACCATACACGAGTGTTGCTTTGAAGTTTCTACATTGACAACTAACATTTTTAGAACAGTTCCAGTTGTAATGAAAATAACATTTATATCATCGCTTAAATTTGGTTGTATTTTGTTCTTGGAACACATTTTTATAAAGTATTCTTAACCGTTCAAATATTTCTATATATTCCAATATATAGTATATGAACGTATCTTCTCGTCAAAGAGAGATAAAATTACTTTTATCTAATAAAGAAAATAGACGGTGCTGCTAAATAGGATCATCGTCTTATATCTCTCCAAAGGAGATAACGTACTTAGAAACTGCAAGTGTGTAAGAGGCAGTGTGTTAGAAACTGCAAGAAGTAGTGTAAGAGGCAGAACAGAAACGTGAAGGAGATACGCAAGCATGAATCTCTCCGTCTTGTGGTGGGGAACTGCGTTCCATTGGTCGACGAGTTACTGTTGGTAAACACTTCTTGTTCTGCGCACTCAATATGACGCCTGGCGGTAAATTACAGACAGGGAGCGTGCGTTCTGCATTCTGATGAGAAGAATTTCGATCTTTTTCTTTACTTCTTTTTCTCTCGCTCTTTGCGTCGGAGGCATCAGGCAAAAAAAATGACTGCATTGAAGGAGTGCTCGTTCTTCCATTAGCCCTAGAATGTTGCACCTGTCTAAGCAGGTGAGCGTGAATATTAGATGCTGCATTATGTTTGATAAGACCTTAAATGGGAATTAATGTTGATGATCGGTAAAAATGTTTCAAAGAGAACTTGATGCTTGACATTCCTGACGTACCTCGCAATTAATTCACTTCGTTTGGGAAGGAATTTGATGGTACTACTCGATTCACGTGCCGTCAAGTGATGTTTACAATAAAGAATATAAAATACTGCAGATGCGAAAGTCGTGATCTAAATTCTTACACTAATGGGAAAATATTGACGACACGAAGAAAGCTTTTATCGTTAATTTATTTCTTCTAAATTGCTGTTCCAGAACACTCCAAAGATTATCGAAGTTCCGATTCCAGATGTAACGAACCGTGGGCATTTTTCACATTTAATTTTTATGAGCTCAAAATTAGAGAAATTTATACTAATGCACTTCTAATGATTCTTTACCAAGGCTATATTCACCTCTTAAATTCAATCTTTCATTTTGTGTTGTCAGATCCGATATCTTTCCCTGCTATTAATTTTATTTTCGGTATGAAAGTTGAAGACGGAAATAACTAGAAATTACACTATCAGATAATTTATATAATTTTAGTAAAATTCCATGTTTTTATGTTCCGAGAAAAAAAGTGACATGATGTTTCTGATTAATAAGTACTTTCTCCTAAAGAGAATGCATTTTCGTAATTAGTATTTCGAGATACCGCATGTAATTCGAGATAAATACTCACTGGGTAAGACTTTAATCAACAATGTGTTTATTACATTTATGCGGAACCTGAACCTGAAAATTCTAGTTGAGTGCAAATAAAAGATTATCATCACGTGCTACTGACTCAAACAAAGTGATATGAAAACAAAACACTTAAAAGGAATTGCACGGCATGAACCATAACTCCATCATCTGAAACTCGATAACAAGTACTAACTACACTTCGCGAGACCGTAAACTACTTTAACTTAACTACCCAACGTTCGGTAGTAATAGTGTAGCGGTGCAAATTTATAGTACTCACGAGTAGTAGCCATTATGCACTACGTCTACGGAGCGTGGGTTCGTCTTGGGTGGCTGGGGAGCCGCCGGTGGATTGAACGGGTCCCATTGTCCCGAGAATCGCTCCGGGGACCGTCGATTCCCACCTAGGAGTCGCCAGAGAGCGCTGCGCAGCGCCCTAGCGAGGCACTTAGCGTCGCGACGAGGATACACGACCAACAGCCCGGCATGGCGAATGCGCCTTAACTTACTCCGACTCTTAAACGTCTCTATAATGAACCCTGGGTGGATAGCGCCGTGCCGGTCGGGCGCGGGAAAACCAGTTTTGCGTTTCGATTCGGACAGCGCGCAGCTTAGCGTGGGGCCTCGGATAACAGCGGCCGAGATGAGGAGCTGGCGAACACTATCCGAGACGTAACTTAACGAGGCGTTAACCTTTGCCTTCACAGATCGACAATAGGAATGATAGCCGAGAAACTTTATTTCTGGGTATCGATTTTCTGACTTCGAATATTTTTTTCGGTATTATTTACACTACTCAAATAGATGCCTAAGAAAACAACTTATACAAATTAATGTTGTAAAATAGAGCTTGTTCATATAAAATGTTTCTCTACATGACAGTATATTACAAATACGTCGTGATGGAATCAAAATATCTCTTTTGAAGTGTAGATATATTTCAATATTAGTTTCGATTCAACACAGATTTAAATACAACCTTGATTCATGTATATAAAATCTTAAATGAAATTATTTATTTTCCAAGCCTTTCACACAACGCAACTCTATTTATCCAGAGTACTCAAATTACCGTCGTACTAAAATTAGAGACATTGGATTAAAATATCAATCACATACTTAACGTAATAGACGTAACTAATCTATTTTTACTTAAGTTTCAATCTGAAATTAATTTTAAAAATATCAATTTTATATGGTAAAATAAACTCTAACTAAATAAGGAGTGAAAATACTCAAATTTTGAAAATTGGTAACCGAGAGAGATTTTAATGTACCATAAAAAACTTTATTTTCATTTGATGTAAACTAAAATTACATGCAACGCACAGATCTAAGCATTCATAGGTTTTTCCTCTGGAGTAAAATTTACAAGAAAAAATGGATTAGTGATGACATTGATGAGAACATTTTGTTTTGCAATCTCATTTCACTTGTTGTCTCGCTCAATCGTTGTTATCTGTACAGTAGTTTCAAGCCATATAAACGTTAACACTGGTGGACATTTGGCAATAACGAATAGGAATGGACAAATGAAAATCACATCACATTTTCGACGAGTTGTACAACAGGGCAGGGCAGGGTCATTCCGAATGGCAAAGCGTCAATCGAAATGCGGAGTAGCCTGCCTTGTTATCTTCATGGACTGACAAACAGGGCGTGATCGTATAGAAGCTGAGTAAGAAATAAATGACCTTGCAATATTGCGGGTAAGGACGATTATTTCCTGTAATGAGTGTCTCAAGTAAACGTTCCCCAGCTTGTTCTGTCTATTTGGGCAAGTCACCAAAAACAGTTTCAAATCAACGAAATCTTCACTTTCATGAAATGATAGTTCTTGGTTTTCGGAACTGCAATGGATAATCTGTTATGGAATATTATTAACCCTTTAAAGATGATGTCCAAACTAACCAAAGGTTTGATAATCCTTCCGTCGATTTACTGGAATTTTCCGTACAAAAAAATTCCTTAGGGAGATTGAGAATTAAAAATATATTTTTAGAGCACTATAGCTCGATATTCATTTTACTTCAAAATAAAAAAAAATACGCATGACCAAGTACTTAACGAGTTTACTTCTGAGTACGATATGCCTCATTAGGATAGTTTTAATACTTTTCGTACGTACGTACACTATTTTCTTCTTCGACCACAGTAATTTACTTTTCCTATTCTTTGATACCTTTTATAATAACAGGCAATAAATTATATCTTACAGAGAAGAAAGGGAAAGAAACGCGATGTTAAAACATCATACAGAATACAAACATTTATATTTTGTGTCACATGTACAGAATATTTATATTCTTATTTGTTAAAAATATATGCAAATATTGGCGTCATGTTTTTTTTTATATGTCTTCTATTGCATATGAAGTATTTTTAGAGTCCATCTTGGACTCGAAGCGTAAGGTAATCGTATTCCACCTGATGATTCCAGTGTCTAATTTACCTTTATTCCAGGCCGGTCTACCCGACGTCATCTCCATGTTGAGACCTCAATACTCCCGTCAGTCCCTATGTTTTCGTTAATCCTTCGTTAATGCTTCGTTTGCTCTAGTATCGCTGCCAGCATACCACCTGTAACAACATAGTATATGTAAACTTTGTGAGTTTCTTACCTTTCATATAACTTTGGAACCAATCTCAATGTAATTTTGATTGTGTAACCAAATGATCTACGTAATTTCAATGTGGGAGTGATATAGGCTGTACATGACTGATGTACAGGCTGTTATTTGGAAATGAATGTGACAAGTTTTAACAAGGGCCCTAGGCCAAGGGGTATATAATTGAATCTATGCCTATATTTTATCGTACATAAAAAAAGGCATGTTATAATATTCATTAAAACACGTGTTCTGTAATGAAACATGTAAAAGCACCAGGTTTAGTAGTAGAAATTTATTATATAAGACGTTAAATAGAAGCCCACTAGAAGTAGCTACCTCACATGGCTATTCGTCGCTCGTGAGATATCTTTGTAGAGTAGATAAAAATCTTGAGCATCGTTTGCAATACTTGACTTTATTTCATTTGTTTGAGTAAAATGTGAATACAAAATGTCATCCTTAGGTGATTGAGAAGAATTTAGCAACGCGTTCTTAACCGTTAATTGGCATCTTTGACCTTCTGGATTTAATAAATTGATAAAACATTAGTGCATCATAGAAGATTACTTCCTTCAGATCAGCCCCTTTTTCTTAACTAATCGATACTATTGTGTAGTATTGTGTAGTACCATTCACCACCACCTGTCGTCGTCTCCTTGGACGCTGTGTCCTGCCAGAGTCCTGCTGTGAGGGTTTCCTCGCCTGCCGTACCTCCCGTCCGCGGGGAAGTTCGCTTTTTCGCGGGCGCCTTCGGCTAATCAATCTTTCACTCATTCAGTCGGTCAGGCGCTCGGCCGGTGAATCCATCGGTCAATCAATCAGTGACGCAGTCAATTACCGTCGTCGGCGTAAAAAGGCAGACAAAGAAGCACATTTTATCGACCCCGAAGAATAAACTAACTTCCGCCCAATCACTCAGTGCATTGATGTATTGTTCGAGAGCTGCCAAGCGATGCATCATGGCGAAGGGCGGGGGCGGGGGCGGAGACACCTTTCATTCGCGCCCTGAGAGACGCGATGGCGGAGGGATGCTTCTTCGCCCAAGCGACCTTCCATCAAGAGGAGGGCTCCTTAAATCGGAGATTTCGGGGCTTGCGAGGTTTCGAGATCGCGACGTCGTGGAACTTATTATGTTCGGAATACTAAAACGCATTACCGTCTTTAAAATACTTACTAGTCAGTGCATTTTATGACATACTCACTGATCATCCGTATTGCCGGGGTATTTCTTTATCATAATCATTTCTGAAGCCCCCTCGCCCGCACCGCATGCTTCGCCTGGCTCTCCTGCCCTATCCGGACTGTCATGGGCGTCCTGACCAAACATCCCGCCCCACCCTCTCTATCTCTTCCTTCCGCTCTACACGCTCCCTTTTGCCCGCTGTTTTCGCTTCGACTATTTCCTCCGCTCGACTCGGTTCTTCGCCCCGTGTCCTTTCGCTCCCTTCCATTCTTCCCTTCCTCTCGTACCTTGCTCTCATTCTGCCCCGCCCGCTGTTTGCTCTCTCTTTCCGTCCCACTCGCAGTTCGCCCTTCACTGTTCCGGCCGCTCCACCCGCTCCATCCCCCCCCCTCCGTCGCTGCAGTGCCTCTATGCCAGAAGTCCGAGACCTGACAACTGCAGGGTTTTCTACATTAGCTTCAGAGCTAGGTGGAGATCAGCATGTGTCTCGAGGCGAGGATAGGACAAGAGCAAGGAAAGATCGAGCGTGGCCCATTTGTTGGGGTACTGTTCCGGCATTCGCCTGGTGTTGTTCAGAGAAACCATAAAAACTACCAGCAGCCGGCCCTTAGAATTCTCCCTCAGACAGAGACTGAATTCGACCTAGCTATGTAGATAAATAATAATTCTACAATATTAAGGACATTGCTACTGAATTGTAATCAGTTGCTTTAAAAACACAGACTCTTGAGAATAAGTGATAAGGTACTCTTTATCAGTTTCCTCTGGCACAACTGTTCAAATGTTTTTATGACAATTGCAAATGTAATGAATCAACTAATCCAACCTATTATGAAACCAATAAAACCGATGTATACCAATGAAAAATGATTTTTGTGCATAATATAATTTGCTAAGCTACATAAACTGTAAAGTATAATTTAACAATTTTAATTCAATAATTCAGGTCACTTTATATTTTTATTGTTCCCAACAGTATGTGATATAAGTTATTAAACATACATGCGGGTAAATTATGTTTAAGAAGGAATTTGTGCCAGGAATAAATTATTTTTCTTTTTGTTCCTCTTTTATATCGCCGACACTCTGCTTTTCGAATTCATTCAAAGGTACGGAACGTGGCGAGAATAAAGAAAAAACAATTGATGGAGTTTCTGACGTAAATGCATTTCGAAATACTGGGAATTGACGTTGCGTTAAAAAGTGCTGTGGTTTATGACGAAAGTCACTTACTTATGCATGAGAGCCAGCCAAAAAGATCGGAGATTGTTTTAAAAGAGCGGAAGCCAAAATAAAACGATACGAACAAGGAACTGGTCGAATAAGAGCCGATGAAATTTTTAGGACATGTCTGAATGATGGTCTCTGTCTGTCTTTTTCGATGTTTCTCTTTATCTCTCTCTCTCTCTCTCTCTCTCTCCTCGCTCACTGCCGGTTCAGCCATTTTATGAATTTATTTATTTATTATTTTCCTTCACCCGACAACGGTGCATGTATCATAATTTGAATGTATTGGTAACGAATACAACGTCCTCTCCGCCTACGTTTTTGCCATAAAAGTGTGCCCTTATGTCAACCACTAATAGAAGTTTATGTCCTTACGATTAAGTCCAGAATATTTTATCATAGATAGTATGTTATGTACGCCACCCAGTGCCGTAACTTATCTTGTTAATTGTGATATATTTCAAAGAAAGGACGTTGTTCATGTTCGGTAACACCTGGAAACTGCCCTGTGCGTCAAGCCGGAGAAGCGGCTGCGAAGACAGCATCCTTGCAACACACTTTCGGCCGTTGTTGCTGCAGCACCGGTTTGCTGCTCGATTTCTTAAAAGGTTGAGGTCTCTGGTTTTAAAGCCGTAGGGCGTTGCACTCTTTCAAGAACGAACGAAAGTAAATGCGAATTCCTTTTGGTTCCTCAATTAATCTCTTGTAATAATTTTTTTTCAATTTGTAAAATAGTCCATGTCCCTCTTTATCGTAAGTAATTTATTTTACAATACTTTTAAAAAATTGAAGCTGCGACGCAGAATTCTCGATTTACAAATATCTCAATACCTACCCAGTTCATTTCCTTTTTCTCCTTTCCACTCATTTAGAAATATTAAGAAGAGCATTGTTACAAATAATTACTTATTGTTACTTGAATCATTATTTTTGAAACGACGATGGTTAAAGTTCGAAAGAAGGTAAGGTAAGTGTTTGCTTGAAATACTTAGAAATGAAATATATATATATATTGTTTTGTTTTAAATAAGACTTCATAGAAATATCTAAATATAAAATTTATGTAGAAAATGACAAATCCATTAATAATGAAAACAATTAAAAATCATTAAAATTACTTATGAAGTGTAAAAATGTTATTGCAAGTTATTCCCATTTCTTCCGAGCAAACGCACAATCAAAATATCAAATAACAAAATCGTGGTCTAGTAAACATAACATCATTTTTCTCAAAAAGAGCGTCTGTAACATATTCCGTGCGTCAATTTCAAAATGTAAAATTTTTAAACAGAAGGTAATAAAACCTTAGTGACAGAAAAAATGAATTGAAGTTACATTAGTGGTCAAAATGATTTTATGTTCTATGTTCTTGTTACGAAAAAAAAATTAATGAAACTGTGGCATACACTTCGCACAATTTTCGTGAAATATTTTATTCATGTTCTTTAACTTATTTTTCTCCAAAATATAGAGGTTTCTCACTGTTTCGTCAAATCTACAGAAAATAGAAATTATTTAAATTAAATTAATCTGGTGTGTAAAAGCTCAATGGTTGGTCACAAATAAAATTAAATTACAAAAATATCAAAAAATCCTACAGTCATTAAAACTGTAATCACTAAATTAGGTTCTCAATTTCTCTCCTTATTTGTCCTGCAATTGAAATGGAGAATCTGAACAAAATTATTAGACAAACAAACTTTTCTCGAATAAAATTACTTTAGAATAAAGATTTACTCCATCCTATATATTTGTTCTTTGAATGATTTTAAATGGACAATACATATTTAAATATAACTAAAATATTAAAAATATTGATGTACATTAGAAAACTCTTCTTGGAATTAAATCCGATTTCTAATGTTTATTTTATGTTCGAATTATAACACTTCCCATTAAAATTAGTTTTTAAGAATGATTTTGTTAATGTTTGATTATAATAAAACCACGATGTATTTACGTTGAAACTCTTGAAATTTATTAAAATGTTGAACAATAACACATATGTTCGTGAAAAAAAAAAATTGGCCGTCTCAAACGTCCACTTGCCGAAGTCAAGACCGTATCATTTCTCAGGTGACCCAGTGACCTTTGGTGCCCGATGCGAGAGCGTTGGCAGGCCTGTTTCTCCACTTCGCGGGTGAGCAACGGCCGCTGACAGAACACAGGCGGCGCACATTTTCCCCTGCGCCCACCCACCGCTTTTGTAGATTTCAGGGATGTAGGTTAGGTTCACAGACGGCACTGACACGCTGTGCCGCTGTGACCTCTTTGACTGAGAAGCCTTCGCAAAATATCTCAAAGGGGGAACGATTTATTTCAAATTTATGGGAACGTGACTTATGACTTAAAGAAGTTGGCAAATGGTAAATACTTGAAAGGAAAGTCATTAAAAAGTTTCCAAGTATATTACGATTTTTAAAATCTTTTAAAAGGAGGATTCTTTTGGTACCATACATTTGTTTTTTAATGTTTTTCAGTCCCTTTTTTTGGAATTTAACATTCGGAACTAATTTTATAAATACATTTTCAGTTGTACCTAATGATGGTGTCAGAAG